CCTGCTGCTAGTCACTTGTATAACAAGAGGATGCTCAAGTGGGAATATAATAACTAGCGTTGAGTTCCATTTTTTTGTATTTGTACACTATTAGCTACCCTGTATGAAGGTGAGGACTATTATGTAGGTGTTGCATTCTAATGGCGACTTGGTATTTGCGTATTTTGAATAGTTCAATGAAATATGGAGCAAATTTTCGGGTAGAAATTTATGGACTACCTGCAAATGAGATCAAGTTGTGAGTGACTATGCTTTTGATGTCATTGCATGGCCTTAAAGAGTACAATGACACTACTAACAGGAACTTTTGATGATGAACTTGAATAATTTATCGTTTGCTGCAAATGAAATATCTATGTTTTAGTGGGCATATTCACGTGTTGTCTGTAGTGTGCAATGCAACTGAAATGTCTATGTTTTAGGGGCATAATACTGTAGTGTGCTTTAATTGCTTGTAAGAGTGCTGCATGTTCTGAAGTAACTCCAAGGTCTAGTTGCTTTAGATATATAGATATAATATAACTATGTGCGATATTAAGGAAGTGTTTGCTATTTATTGTGCTCCTAAAAAAGTTATTTTTCTTAGTGAAAAGTTATTATAGAGAAACCGCTTGATAAAAGCCGGCAGTGTTTTAAATTGGAAGTGATTTTTTATTAAAAGTAAAAGTTCGGTAGAAAAGTGATTTGTAATGTAATATTCAGTGGAAGTACCAAAATGTATAATTTTTCCGCATGCTCTGTTTTGTCTTGTCATGTAGGAGTAGGATAATTGTTGCATATATGTTTAGGGCTAAAAGATTGAGTTAGCTACAGAAAAACCGAAAAGCATTTACAAGAAAGTTAAGCGCAAGCACGTGTTTGAAAACCTTATGTTTAACGTTTTTGAAGCAAGAAGCTGAAAAGTGATTTTTTGAACCATCACAAGCACTGCCTGGTTCTCTAGCTCTATTTTCCTTTTTGCGTATTTTCAATTTTATTTGCTCTTGTGCTTCTTCTTAAGGATATGTGACTATTGTTAGCTCACAAATTTCAATCTGATTTTGTTTCCATGTGTGGAAATTTGAGCGCGTTTTCTTGTTACAGGCGGTTAAATTAAAAGGAAGGAGAAGCACCTCCCGGACTCCCTTTGAGAGGTGCTGGTCAGGATTCTGACGCACAGCCAAAGGTGAAGACTTGCCTGTGTGTGTTTTCAGAAGGTCATTTAAAGTCATTGGAGTATAGTAGATAATTAGTTGAAAAACAGGTTTCTAATGGCGATCTTCCTAATCCGTGTGGTGCACTATTTGATTAACTCTGGGAGGTAACGAAGCAGAGAATACGGAAAGCATCCATATGTGGGGAACTGCCTGGGCTGGGACTTGTGGTCTGTAAGTTCTTCTTCTTTGAGGTCATATGTTTTCTGGACATTTGGGTGCTTTATGTGTCTCTTCTCATTCAGGTATTGTTGTTGAGGTAAATTAGCATCTCACTCATGCAATAGGCACTTATAAGAAAGCAAGAAGAAAAAAGGGGTGAACAAGAAAAGGTAAGCAAAAGTAAACCTATATATTATTATATTATATGTTATTATACTCCGTATTATAATTAATATTAATACAGTTATGATCTTTATGAACCGATCCGGCTGATAAAAGGAATTGCTTAGGTTATCGTTTGAATTTTCTGAAACAAAAAAGTGTCTGGCAAAGCAACACCTTTGGGAAGCCAACAGACCCCAATTTGTATGCAACTATCACCTCAAAGAATTCATTTTTTGTTTGAATTAAATTTTTTATCCAAATATAAAATTACATGGATGGCCTTGCTAAGAGGAACAACTTTTGCTTTAAGGAGTCACTCAGCTGAAATCCATACGGCTGCATTAATGAAGAAAATTTTAGTTTCACCGCTATTTCATGGCATGTATTTTTTTATTTTGATTAATAGTCTGAAATTAGGTAATGCAAAACATACCAAATGATTTGTTGAAGTGTTTCATAGCTGCCTTTCCAGCATTCTTAAGAAACAATCATTACAATCTTTTTTTAGAAGTGGAGAAGTGAATGGGTATCCGAAGGGGGGTGGGTGAGAGGGGGTTAGAAAGGGAGAAGAGAAAGAAGGGTGGTTGCTCAAGGATTTGACGTGCTTTGATTGCAGACAGTTGAAGGTAAGACAAGTGGCAACAACTTATATTCCATGGTCACCGAATTGTAGATGGACTAGATGCCATAACCTGTATAAGTAGAAAATGGGAGCAGAGGGGTTGAACAAGGAAGAGAGGAAGAAGACGGAACCAGAAGAAGATGAAGGGTAAGGAGATATCGAAATGTAAAAGAAAAATCAACTCGGTTTAACTATTAATGATTTTTTTGACAGAAAATTACAGTAAACTTAGCTTGCTGACAGTTAGACAAGATTTATTTGCATTGCCCCACTATGTTGAGTTTGAGTATCTTTTCTGCATCATGGTTTTGAATTTCAGGGTTGCTCTCTCTATGTATTGCATTTGATCATACCTTGGTTCTCTGGATTACTCCATTTCATAGTTCACATGTGTTACGATGGTTTGATAATAAATGAGAAAAAGATGGAAGAGGAAGATGGAAGACAAAGAGGGAGAAGAGGGAAGGGGATTACTCCATTAAAAACCATTGCTTGTATGCAATTTGAGTTTGTGTGGGCCAGATCCTGGGGTGAAGGGAGCAGGGGGGCAGTCCACGGGGAAATGGGGGCAGTTCCTGGGGAAAGTGGAGGGGAGAGCAGGCCCTGGGGAAAGTGCGGCAAACCAGTGGATAGTGGAGGGCATCCCATGGGCGGGGCGGGGGGCATGCCTAGTTTCTGATGCAGCTGCAACACTCGGAACATGGCTAAGAATGGAAGGACTAAAAATAAAAGAAAAGAACTTGTTAGGAGAAGATATAAAGCAGAAGAAGAAAATAAGAGATAAAGGTATCAATTTTTTTAATGAAAAGATAGAATTAGAGCAAGAACAAACAGACAACACCGAAAAATATAGAAAATTAGAAAGAATGAAAAATTGAATTAAACAAGAGGATGAAGACAGAAAGAAGAAACGTGCGCCATTCAAAAATAAGTTGAGAAGCATTTCCCAGCACAGGCGTGACAAGCGTGCGTCTCAGCTCTTCTTGCGCTTGAGGAATTATAAGGTGCTACGCATGTTTAGCGCCATTCAAATAATAGGTCAAAACAACTTAAACCCATGTTAAACCCTTCTAAGTCACGGTAAAAGCCTTCTATCGCGCGTCTTCATCATTACTCTCCTATGCTCTACTCGTGCAACCTGTTCAGCGCTGCAACCACATCCAACGAATCAACGATCAACCCATTGAAGCTAGCAACTCTTAAGGTTTCTTCTTCCTCATCATCTTCCCATGTTCTTTCTTCTTTCTTTTTCAGATTGTAGTCAACTCTTAAGGTTTCTTCTTCCTCATCATCTTCCCATGTTCTTTCTTCTTTCTTTTTCAGATTGTAGTTTTCATTTATTTTACCATCTTCTTGTTGATCCTTTCTTTTTATTCTTTCAGTCTATCTTCTCTCTTTACTTTTACCACTTGCAGTCATCTATGCGTACTTTATAGTTCTCTTTAAACACTTTATGGTTCTCTTTGCTTCATCTTATTATACAGTCTATAACTTTATATCTTCTTATCATCATTTCATTTTTTAATTGTATAAAACTTCATGTAATCTAACTCGGTTAATAGTTTAACACACTACAATTTATGCTACCCGTAGTCCTCATTTTGCAAAATCAGCCAAAACAGACCCTGCTCGGTGTTTTGTTTATGTGAACCATCCAACCATGACTTTTTTCTGTGGATTGTTACTTTGTTATTGAGAAACATGACTTTTTAATGCATTTAGTTCGATATGATGTTGAATATGTCATTTTTGATCACTCTAGAATAGTATACATAATATTTTCTAAATAGTGAGCTTGACATGAGTTAGACAAGTGTTTTTTTGCGCCTTGGGCCTCAAAAGTACTCTAGCGCGTTTTTGACTACCTCGGGGCGGACAGAGTATGGGAAAAGGGCGAAGCAAGAAAAAAGGAGTAGAAAGGGGAAGAAGAAGGGAGGAAAGGGAGTATGGGAAAGGGGAAGAAAGGAAAAATGAGTAGACAGGGGAAGACAAAGGGGGGAAAAGGAAGAAAGCTTATTAAGTAATTATATTATTAGGTAATATTATATGTTATTATTAAGTACATTTGTTACAATATTGTATTATAATGTTATATTTTATTAAAAAATGATACATTCTTATATTTTATTTTTCGTTGTTATACAACAACATCCAAGCCTTATTCCCAAAAGATTTTGGTGTACTTTCCGTTATTATAGTATAAATAAATATTATATTTGGCAAAACTAAGTATATACACCTTGCAGGTCTGATTGGATGATATGTCATGAATGACAGGCTGTTTAGGGTTCTACCTCCGAAGCATTCCCTTATCAGTGTGGTTTAGACACGAGAAAAAGGTAAGCATAAACACTGCCATCATTGTGAGGTTACGCTTGTATTGTTTTTAGTATTGGCTATTGATTGAGATCATGTCTTAGGTATTGATTCATCTTTTGGATCAAGTAAGAGATGTGCTTGCAAGAACTGGTCCAATTTTGTTAGGCCCAGGGGAAAGTGGGGCCACCAGTGGATGGTGTAGGGCATTCCCTGGGTGGGGGGTAGGAGGACATGCCCATCTTCGAATGTAGCCGCAGGCCCGCAGCACTCAATCTTGCCTAGGAACGGAAGGACCAATGATGACAATCACTCCGCCATCTAAGGGTCGATTCCCTTTAAGACATGTCCATCTGTAATGTTTGGTTATGATATGCTTAGAAGGAAGTTGAAAGGGGAGGGATTAGGAGAAAGGGGGGAGCAAGGAAAAAGGAGCAGAAAGGGGAAGAAGAAGTGGGGAGAGGTGAAGAAAGGAAATATGAGTAGATAAGGGAAGAAGAAGGGGGCAGGGAAGATAGATCAAATTAAAGTTATAGTGAAGGAAGCAGATATGAGGATTATACATATATACTTTTAAAATCTAGTAGATATCAATAAATTTTGTTGATCTTTGTGCACCGGCCCAGTTGATCTCCGATCGCTGAATAAAAGGAAATAGCAGCTTCTTCATTGGGTAGTTATCTATAATATAGAGCCTGTTTGCTTAGGGTTATCCTCTGAATTTTCTGTAAGAAAAAAGTGTCTGGCAAAACAACACCTTCGAGAAACAAACAGAGCCTAATTTTTATCCATGTTTCACCACACAGAATTCATTATCTGCTTGAATTCAATTTTTCATCCAAATCTAGAATTACATGTGATGGATAGTCTACCCGGGGTATATATCCGAAGGGTTACTACGGGGAGTAACTTAGAGAGAAGTCAGAGCAAGTAAGTAAGAGAGAGAGTGTATATTCGGTATGTATTAAGCGTTTTCAGCGTGGTTACAAATGGGGAAATGTGGTGCTATTTATAGTAGCAATAAATGCCGGGCAGGGACACGTGTCAAGCGCTCATTGGTCGAGGGGTCACCTCAACTGGTTGGCGCTGGCAGCCGCATGTGGCCGCATTTAATGCGGCTGTTGGATGGGACGTCTGTGCAGAGTACGGTGATCTGTACGCATGTGAGGCGGATATCTTGTCGAGCGAGATGCCTTCGGCTATAGAGCAGTAGCCGAGGGCTCTTCCTCCCGATGGCACCCCTGGTGCCGAGGGCTCACAGTGCCGAGGGCTACTGTTTTAGTCGTTTTCTCCCGATTTCTTAGTTTGCTTGAGAAAACCCGTTCTGTGAGAATTTGGAGCCTTCGGCCAGGGGGCCGAAGGCACCCCTGCGCGTTGTGCAGACTGCTTGGTACTCCGGGCGCTGTGAATTGGGCCTTCTGGGCCTGTTGGGCCTTTGCTGGAGTAGTGGGAGTCTGTGGGTCGGGGGTTCCCCGGGCCATATACTCCATCAGGAGTCCCTCACTCCTTTTGCCGAAAGGTACTTGAGGGAAAAGGAGTAATTTGTGCTCGCCCCTTGATGTTATCCCGTTGTGATCTCTGAAGTTGGTGAGGAGTTGTTGCTTTTATGTCCCTGGCGAAGGCAGTCCCTCAGTTACCCACATGTCGGGACTTGAGGGCTTGCTTTGTTGTTTGTTGGAATTTCACAGATTTTGTAATTTAATGATTTTCCTGAAGGGGTCCTCCAGTCCCCCACTCCTTGAGGCACTTGTAAAGTGGTGAAAAGGAGTGAAGTAGTTATGTTGCTGTTGTGGGCCGAAGGCTGACGCTCTTCGTTTCATTTTGGGGGATGCCTCGTTAAAAACCTCATTAGGAAAAACCCTTTGGGAAAAAATCTTAATGAGGGAAAAAGAGTGCACCGAATTCCCCCAATGATGAAGCGAAAATGTCAAACCTTGGCAAAAATGGAGAATGGCGGGAATGCCGAAGGCTCTCTCTTCTGAGGGCTCCTGTGTTGATTAGCCGAAGGCTTGCTGTTGATGTCCTGGTGGTGCTGAAGGGGAGCCCCTCAATCCAGGGACCGAGGGCCTGCCAGATGAGGGCAGCAGTGAAGTTGTTACCGGGGGGCCCACTGTTTGTTGATGAGTTGGTGATGAAGATACCCGAGGGCTCCCATTACCTGTGTGCCATGGGCCATCCGTCAATGAGGCACTCCCCGGGGGCTACCCGGTTTTGTAGTGCTGAGGGGGAAGCCCCGAGGTGTGCCCTGATATGCAGCCCTAGGATCTGAAGGGGTGATCCCGAAGGCTTATGTAATGTGCTGTGTGGGGCACAACCCGGGGGCACTTCTGGGTGAGTGCACCCGGAGGCTATCTTTGATGGAGTGGAGTGAAGTACAAAACCCGGGGGCTTCCAAAATATAGTCGTTGGAAATATGGCCGTTGGAATATGTAACGACAGGATATAGCCGTTGGGGGGGGGGGGGGTGGCACACGTGGCATGTGAAGGCTGGTTGTCCGTGGGCGGCGTCACCGGTTGGGTGAAACGGCGGTGTGTAATGATGGCGTCCATCCGGAGGCCCGGAATCCAGGCCCAAGCCCGGATTCATCGCCTATAAATACCTCAAGGCCAGGCGTTCCTCCGTGTGCGATAAACTTGTTAGCGAAGCTCTGTCAATTTTTCTAGAGAGAGAAAGTTCAGCCTTCGGTCAAAACTCAGCTTCCGAGGTCAGTGCTCCCTGCCTTTCTCCTTCTAACATAGCTGTACTGTGCCCTTAGTTTAGGAGATAGAATTCACTAGGAACCTTAGTTCCCCCGAACCCTCGAGCTAGAGTGTAGAATGTCGTCCCAGAGTGACTCTCAGGACATCTCGAGGACGCCCTCGATGGAGGACGAAGGCATCTCCGACGTGGAGTCCAGCAGCAGTCAGCCCTCGGATGGTGGTGATGTAGCCCTCGCCACTGAGGTGCAGAAGGATCTGACGGCCGAGGCCGAGGCGGAGGAATTCGAGCGGACCGCGGAAGATGAGGAGTTAGTCCTCGCCGTCCAGGTTGCTGAGGAGGAAGAAGAAAAGGAGAGGGCGAAGGTCACTGTGGCCGTCCTTCCCCCTCGGGGTGCTGGTGAGGCCAGTACCTCCCGGCCGTTGAACGCAGTTCCCCTCCGGGTGGCCCCCGGGATGAAGAAGAGAAAGACGAAGGCCGCCCCTCAGAAGAAAACAAAGACCGTCGATCAGGGGGGGCCAGTTGATCTACCGGAGGGTTATTCCTTCCTGGACACCGCCGCTCTGGAGATCAAGTCCCAAGCTGACAGGGCGGACATCTATATCACCCAATTGCATGTAGGGCCCTCAGCCGTGGTAGTCGAGCCAGGTCCCGATGACGTGCTGTCGCGGCCCCCCGAGGGATGTATAGCCGTGCACGTGCTTTCGGTCTCAATGGGCCTCCGGTTCCCTCTCCATCCGTTCCTCCGGGAGTACCTGAGGTACACCGGCCTGGCCCCCTGCCAATTGACTCCCAACAGCCACTCGTACATAACGGGGTTTGTGAACCTGTGCAAACTCCGGAAGGTTACACCGAGCCTGGAGTTATTCTTCCAAAGCTTCAACCTATGCCGGGGGGGACATACAAATGCTGAGGGCTATGCGAACTTACAACAGATAGCCCAGTTCAAGCTGTTCACTGAGGCCCCCTCTTCCAACAAGGGGTGGAGAGAGCGATGGTGCTTCATCAGACTGGCCGACAGCCCGTTCCCGAGGGAGTTGCGGAATTGCTTTCGGCGCCATGTGAAGGCCAAGAGTGCCGCCCTCGAGAAGGATGGCCTGAAGATTGCAAAGATTCCCGAGGGTCGGGAAAAGAACGTAACCATCAAGGAGTGCACCCTCGAGGAGGACCTGTATACCCTCGGATTCCTGATGTATCGGTTCATTGGGGAGACCGATGAGAAATATCCCCTCTACGATAAAGCCTTCGTGGGAGCAGGAGGTAGTGGCCGGGGGCTTTACATTTTCGTACTTAGAGATTTTTTTGTTATGTTTGTTGTCATGTGTTTGACCCCTCGGTTCTAACCTTTCAACTTGTTGCTGTCGTTCTTTGCAGGTAGCAGGATGAATGCCAACGCCTTGTTCGCGAAGAGGAAGGGCAAGACCCAGCAAAAGGAGAAGGGGCCCTCGGGCCAGAAGCCAGTTGACGCGCTTTTCCCGAAGGCCATAGAGCCTTCCGCCGGGAACGCCCATGCTGTTGTGGGGACCGGGGGGTCGAAGGCCGAGGCGGCCGCTAAGAAGAAGAGGAGCGACAAGGGGGTGGAGCCCCCTACCAAGAAGCAGAAAGGCGCCGGGGGTGCTGTCGGGGGGGCGGCCCCCCTCATAGTTATTGATGACATGCCAGCTGCTGGTGAGCCTCTGGCCTCGGTCCCCCCGAAGGATCCGGTAAATCCCCCCCGGGCGGAATCACCCCGGGAGATCCGTCAGCTCTCCTTTGCCCCCGACGCGTAGTTGATGCACGGCACTGCCGAGCCGAAGGCCTTCCTGCGGGGCATCACCTCGAAGATGGACAGGGAAGTCTTCGAGACCTACGATGACGATGCCCTCGAGAACAGGATCCTCCGGTCCTCGCTCACTGTAAGTATCCGCTTCCTTTTTCCTTATCTTGTCAGTTTAGTCTTATTTTTTCCTGAGGAACAATCTAACTCCTTTGATCATTGTTTGCAGGCCTGCATAGCCCTCGGGGAACAGGCCCGGAGGCGTGAGGAAAGGCGTCTCCACGAGGCTGCCCAGGATAAGAAGGTGGAGGGGCTGATCCGTAAGAACTCTGAGGCAGTGAAGCATGCTGCCCAGCTGGAGGAGGCCCTTCGGGAGGCGAAGGCGGCGGCGGAGAAGGCCAAGGCTGATGGAATAGCCAAAGGCAAGGCAGAGGCCGAGAGGGCCGCTGCCGAGGCGGCGAAGAAAGCCGCCGATGAAGCCCAAACTGCTAAGGAGAGAGCTGCGGCCGAGGCCCGAGGGGAGGCAGTTGCGGAGTTCCTTGCTGAGGGCTGGAGGGCCGAGGGCCACAAGGAGTGGGTTGCCTCCGTGGTGGCAGCCTCGGTGGATGCTTGGGTTGAAGTCCCCGGGGTAGACTGGCTGACCGATAGGGGCGACGCCTACTATCAGGGGGGTGAGTTCTTTACCCAGCACCTGATATACCGGAGGCTCGCCAGGCACTTCGGCGTATCCCTCGAACAATTTGACCCCTCGGTATATGGCCTCCCTCCGTTGCAACCAGATGTTAGAGTTCCCCTCCCCCCGGGTGAAGAGCGGCCAACAATCTATGATTCTGTGATGATGGGGGGTGACGGGGTTGGAGCCATCGGGGGTGATGCTGCCGGAGAAGAAGTCTCCTCCAAGGCTGTCGGGGAAGATGCCCCCGGTGACAACGAGGCTGAAGCCGTCGAGAAGATTATCACTTAGTCAAATCTTTTCTTTTTAAAAAAACCTTGTAATGAAATTTTTGTTGCCCCTCGGCCTTGGCCACACTCTGTAATGATCATATTGACTATTTTTGTGTTGTAATTGAATGATTGCCTTCGGGCTTGGTGTATATGATATGCTTCCTTCTGATCTGTTCATTGTTGAATGTATGCCTTCGTCTTTGTTTTGAATGTATGTCTTGTTCCTTTGAATGTATGTCTTAGGACTTAGAATGTCATCTGATTGTAGCTAGCCCTTGGGAGCCTTCGGTAGTTGGGCACCCTCCGCTGGATATGCAACCGGTGGTTCGGCAGCAATTAGGACTTAGAAATTTTTTTCTAAGTGTAGCACAGCATGAGGCCTTCGGGTGTTTGTAGTAACCCACCTCCTAGGACTTAGAAAAATCTCGAAGTGTAGATTCCCCCTTGAGAGCCTTCGGGATATAGCGCCCATTCCTTATGTGTGAATAATGGACCGAGGGCCCAATGCACAGGACTTAGAGATTTTTGCAAGTGTAGTATGCCATGTAGCCTTCGGCTACTGTGGAGCCCCACCTGTAATATTGAGCAGGCCGGGGGCTAATTCTTTAGGACTTAGAAGATTTTCTTGAGTGTTGATTCCTTGTGAACTGTAGCCCTCGATTGATAGGTAGCCTTCAGCAATTAGGTCCCTCGAGATGAGGGCGAAATATGTAGGACTTAGAAAATCTTCTAAGTGCAGGGTTTCCCTTGGGAGCCTTCGGGAGATGGCATCCCTTCATGATGTATGAGTAGTTGACCGGGGGGAAATATGCAGGACTTAGAAAATCTTCTAAGTGTAGAGTTTCCCTTGGGAGCCTTCGGGAGATGGCATCCCTTCATGATGTATGAGTAGTTGACCGGGGGGAAATATGCAGGACTTAGAAAATCTTCTAAGTGCAAAATCTCCCTTGGGAGCCTTCGGGAAATGGAATCCCTCCTTGGTAAGGCTGGGCCTATTAGGAGACCATCAGAATACACCAATGGCTCTCCTCCCTCGGGTTAACCTTCCGAGTGCCGAGGGGATCGAGGGACGTTTCCTGGGCACAAGATATGGTGGTCCGTAACCTGCCTCCCCTTGGGGGATGGCGCGGAAAGCGCCTCATTTTTGAAAGTCATCCCCTCGGCGCTAGACATAGTCTGTGGCCTGCCACACCCTTGGGGTGGTGGCGCGGGGAGCGTTTCGGTTTGGAAGTCGAATCCTGGGCATTCCTCATGCCTGTCATACCCTGGGGGAAATGACGCGGATAGCGTTCCGTTTTTGAAAGTCGAATCCTTGGCATTTCTCATGCCTGTCATACCCTGGGGGTAGTGACGCGGAAAGCGTTTCAAGGAAGGGTTTTCATTTTCACACTAGTTGCAAATGGCCGGGGGCACTACGTGCCGCCGGCACCGATGGTGGCGCCTTCGGTATATGCGTCCTCGTGGGGTACGGCTTTTAGAAACAACACTTGGTGTTAGTTTCGATGTGTAGCCCCCGGTACTTGGTACCGAGGGGTCTTTTGTAGGAACACTTGGTGTTCTCTTGTTGTAGTTGATGTAGGTGTCTACCCTCGGTACTTGGTACCGAAGGGTCTTCAAATGAAACACTTGGTGTTTCCCAATAGATGTTCGGAAGCTGTTAGGAGAGCATATCCCTGACACTTGGTGCCGAGGGGTCTTCTGTGAAACACTTGGTGTTTTTTCTACGTTTCGATATTTGATGAGGGAGGTGTACCCTCGGCACTGGGTGCCGAAGGGTCTTCGGTAGGAACACTTGGTGTTCTCTTGTTGTAGTTGATGTAGGCGTCTACCCTCGGTACTTGGTACCGAAGGGTCTTCAAATGAAACACTTGGTGTTTCCCAATAGATGTTCGGAAGCTGTTAGGAGAGCATATCCCTGGCACTTGGTGCCGAGGGGTCTTCTGTGAAACACTTGGTGTTTTTTCTTCGTTTCGATATTTGATGAGGGAGGTGTACCCTCGGCACTGGGTGCCGAAGGGTCTTCTGTAGGAACACTTGGTGTTCCCATCTTTTCTTTTTTGATGTTGGAGGTGGGGAAGTACCCTCGGCACTGGGTGCCGAGGGGTCTTGACTGAAAACACGTGGTGTTTCTACTGTTTGTTGTATGTGTTGATGGTGTCCGCCCTCGGCACTGGGTACCGGAGGGGGTTCTTCTTGTGGTGAGGCCTGGGGCCTGTAGTCAGTATGAGGGCTTGATGTCTTGAATGTATCTTCATTCTTCGAAATTGGAGGCCTTGGGCCATTGGATAGTACATTCACTAGTTATGAGGGCTTGGCCGCTCTTACATTATTGATAAAATTTAACTAAATGGTGTACATTCCAGTGCCTAGAGACCTCTTTCCCGTTGGGGCGTTTGAGTCTGTAAGTCCCGGGTTTGATGATGACTGCTATGATGTAGGGGCCTTCGAATTTTGGTGCCATTTTTCCTCCCTCGGTTGGTTGGCTGGCTTCTCTCCTCCGGAGGACATAGTCCCCCACTTGAAATTCCCGGGTTCGAACTTTGGCGTCGATGTAGCTTTTAACTTGCCTTCGGTAGTTTTCTGCCCGGATGAAGGCCCGCTCCCGGCGCTCTGAAATGAGGTGCAGGTCGAGGGCCATGTTGCTGTCGTTGACCTCGGGGTCATATTGGATCACCCTTCGGGTAGGAAGGGTGACTTCCGTAGGAGCTTTGGCTTCAAAACCGTAGCAGAGGGAGAAGGGTGTTTCACCTGTAGCGCGCCGAGGGGTAGTGCGGTAGGCCCAGAGGATGTTGTGAAGTTCTTCCACCCAGCCACCACCCTCGGCCTCCAGCTTCTTCTTGAGGCCCTCGAGCAAGGTCCGGTTGGCGTTCTCTACCTGCCCGTTGCCTTGAGGGTAGGCAACGGAGGAGAAGGTGTGTTTGATGCCCCACGCCTCCAGAAGGGCACGGAAGGGGGCTGCCTCAAATTGTGTTCCACTGTCGGAGATGATCTGCTGGGGGACGCCAAACCTTGTGAGGATGTTCTTGAGGACGAAGTGACGGCACTTCGCCTCTGTGATGCTGGCGAGGGGTTCAGCCTCCACCCACTTGGTAAAATAGTCGACGGCCACAATGATGTATCTGTTGTTGGAGGTACCCCTCGGCAGAGGGCCCACAAGGTCTATCCCCCATCGAGAAAATGGGACAGATGTGCTGATGGGGGCATAGTTGACCGCTGGCCTGCCGGGGGCTTTCTGGAAATGTTGACATGCGGTGCACCTCCGGGCAAGGTCAGCACAATCCCTGGCCATGGTTGGCCAGAAGTAGCCCTGGAGAATGAGCCTTCGGGACATGGAGAAGGGTCCTTGGTGAGCTGAGCAAGTGCCACTGTGCACTTCCTCCATTGCGACCTCGGCTTCATCTGGATGAAGGCACCGAAGTAGCGTGCCATTGTAAGATCGTTTGTAGAGCCTTCCATCTTCGATGGTGTAGCTGGGAGCCCTCAGCTTTGCCAGTTTAGCGCGGGCCTCATTCTCGGGTAGCTGCCCTGTGGAGATGAAGATGGTGATATCTGAGATCCAATCCTCCTGACGCTGTTGTATGTTCATAACGGGGCTTGCATGGATGCTTGAGAGACTGAGTTCCTCGATTTTGGCAATTTTGGAGATGTGCTCGGGGGAGTCGGCCGAGAGCTTAGATAATATGTCGGCCTCGGAGTTCTGAGCCCTCGGTATTTGAGTGAGAGAGTGTGCCTCAAATACCTTAAGCAACTCCTTGGCCGCTTCCTTGTACTGTTTCATTCTTCCCTCCTTGGCCTCATATTCTTCGGAGATTTGGCCAACGACCAACTTGGAGTCGCATTTGATGTGGATCTGCCGAGCCCTCATGTTGGCAGCCAGCCGAAGGCCACATAGGAGGGCCTCATATTCGGCCTCATTGTTGGAGACCTTGAAGGAGAAGCGGATTGCATAGTAAGCCCTGAAGCCCTCGGGAGTAATGAGGACTACCCCTCCCCCGCATGCTTTGGTCGCGGAGGAGCCGTCAGTGTAGAGGGTCCACCAGTCGTCCGAGGTTGCCGAGGGCTCCCCGTCCGTGGCTGCCCTTGCGGTACATTCCGTCACAAAGTCCGCTAGGGCTTGGCCCTTGATGGCAGGCCTTGGACGGATGTCAATGTTGTACTGGCTCAAGAAGATAGCCCATTTAACCATGCGGGAGGAGCTGGTGGGGCTCCTCATGAGGGCGCCGAGGGGTTGATGAGTGAGGACCTGAACTGGGTGAGCCTGAAAGTAGTGGCCCAACTTCTTGACAGTCCAAACGATGGCCAACACCTTTTTTTCCACAGGGGAGTACCTGAGCTCGGCCTCCCTTAGGGTCTTGCTAACGTAGAAGATGGCATGTTGGATGCCGTCTTCCTCCCGGATGAGCACAGAGCTGATGGCTACCGGGCTAACCCCAAGGTAGAGGTAGAGGGTCTCCCCTACCTTGGGTTTGGAGAGCACAGGGGGTGAAGATAGCTATCTCTTTAGCTCGTCGAAAGCCCCCTGGCATTCTGGAGTCCATAGAAAGCCAGCCGTCTTCCTCATGATCTGGAAGAAGGGTAGAGACTTCTCTGCCGATTTAGATAGGAAGCGGTTGAGGGCTGCCAGGCGGCCCGTCAACCGTTGAACTTCCTTCACGTTACGTGGGGGCTCCATGTTGATGATGGCCTGGATCTTCTCGGGATTGGCCTCAATACCCCTTCGGCTCACCATGTAGCCTAAGAATTTGCCCCCTTGGACGCCGAAGGTGCACTTCTTCGGGTTTAGCCGAAGGTTGAATTTTTGCATGATGGCAAAAATTTCCCGGAGGTCGTCAGCATGACTGGAAGATTGCTTGCTCTTGACGATCATGTCGTCGACATAGGCCTCCATGGTGCGCCCTAGGACGGCTTGAAAGACCCGGGCCACCATCCGGGTGTAAGTGGCCCCTGAGTTCTTTAGGCCGAAGGCCATCACTAGGTAGCAGAAGATGCCCTCGGGAGTCATGAAGGCAGTTTTTTCGGCGTCCTCCTCGTGCATGAATATTTGGTGGTACCCTCGGAAGGCATCGAGGAAGGACATGATTTCACACCCCGCGGTCTCATCCACCAATTGATCAATGTTTGGTAGCGGGAATGGATCCATGGGGCATGCTTTGTTGAGATCAGTGTAGTCC